TGCACCTGGATGAATAGTAAATTCAAAAAAAAGTAAATAAATTTCAAAAATTCTGAATTTTTGTAGATGTTCATATTACTGTAACATGCATGCTTGACAATTTTTATTGTAACTTGCATGCTTGACAATTTTTATGCGAAACGAGATAGCAGTACTTTGTCGATGAAAAAAACAAAAATTAAGCGTAACATTTGGCGTTCGACTTTTCCTTTCTGCGCAGTTCAAAATACCTAAGCTTTTCACCCAAAAATTTGCAGGTAGCATCTTAATTCGACAATGAACATATTTATTTTTTTTCAAATTTTTTTTACATTTGCATATAACAATTTTTGCTCGCAGGAGCATATGCTCCCAAAAGCCGAATTGGATTTCTACTTTTTTTGTACCTTAAATCTTTTATTATAAAGTTATAGTTCAAATACCATCCACTTTCTTGTTATATTTTCGTTGCTCTGATAGTGTTGGTAAGGAAGGTTTGAAAGAGAACGAAAAACAGTCGCTAAACCGTAAAAAAAGCGAGGCTAAAAAACCAATTTTTATAATTAATAATTATTAATTCGGTAATTCCAAAACTAGTAAAGAAGACGTGCAATTTTTAAAAATAGGAAGGACGCCATAAATAGCGGCGTCCAGACCTGAACGCCATTAAGAACAACGCCCATGTCTGGACGCCATTGCCAACAGTGTCCAATTCTGTGGTTTGACCAGTGCTGTAATTAAACTGAACGGAGTCGTTTCGAGTTGATTATGGAGTTGCATGAGCTGTAAAACCTAGTTCTGGCAATCATTGCTCCTCCTCCTTGCTGCGCGGTAAGCAACCTCAGCCGAGATGTTACAAACCTTGCCACTACTCCATCAAACACAGGGGATTACTGCTCTCTCGTATTGATTCATTCAAGTATCAGGTCTAATTACAGGAGGGGAAATACTAGAGTGGAGAGATTGGGAAGGAAGAGAGCTAAGAGCATCTCTAGCTCCGCCTCGACTTGCGCTCTAGGTAGACAGCGGCAGAGCTCTGCCATGTACGCCTCGTCGAAGGCCTCTGCCCCAGCCTTTCCCTCGCGTCCGGGTCCTCCTCTCCTCCCGTGTGGAGACCACTCGCGGGTCAACGACATCTAGCCACGACATCTCACCGAACTCAAAGTTTCGGTGGCTGTCGACGCCGTGCAGTCGGACCAACCAAATGTCATACTCTTTGACATCCTGCTCGGCGGAGTGGAAGGATCCGAGCCAAAGCTTCTCGTGGGTGTGTCGGTCCGTGATTTCGTCTACCCGCGTCCCCATGCCCGCTATCGCACGCCAATGTATGGTCTCTAAGGCGGCGGCGGCACCGGGAGCTCGGGGAAGCTGGAGAGCCTGCCGAAGGAGGCTGATGGGACGATGCTCGAGGAAGCGCCGCAACGACAACGGGAGGCGAGTGGGTCGGCGCTATGCTAGCGGATGTGCAGATCCACGCTGCGGATGGGCGGCGAGGCAGGGCATCCACGGGATCCGGCCATGACAGCAAGGGTGGGGGTGCGGGAGCTGTGGGGTGGCCTGCGAGATGAGTGCGGCGAGGGATTAAGGGAGAGAGGCAAAGAGGCATGGTGTGGTTTTACTCTGCAACCGAGCAATCGAGTAAGTTTAGGCACTCGGCTCGGCTCAAAGTAAAATATATACTCCACTATAGGATTCACGGGATCACGGTTAGAGGAGTAAAATCGTTTTTTACTCTCTAGAAGATTTCAGGATCGGCTAGAGATGCTCTAATCCTTATTAGAGTCCTTCAGTTCATTTCATGATCGCTTCGGAATAAGCTATAGGAATAAGAGCAACACTACTAATAGCCACATTAACAACATAATTAATTGGCATATCCCTCTTCTATCTGACACACTCAATGTAAGCGTGCCACTTGAAGGGAGTGGAGGGTCTCGCTAACTTGCGGGGTCCAACCAATTGCATCGTCTCTTCCAAATTTGTGTTACTCCGGCCATACCCATAGTATGATTGCGACGTTCGCGGGTTGATGCTGCGATCGGGATGTTACAGCCAACAACGCCGACCATCACAGCCGAGACACCGTGTCATCGGCTGCTCGCCATTATGATCCACCAATCGACATTTCTTTGGACAGACAAGCGGATTAGGTTGGAGACAGCCGATCTAGGGGTTCCTAGGTGGTTCAATCATGCACTGGACGCCGCTAACACTAGCGTTCAAACCTGGATATGGTTTGCAATAGCGGCCAGCTTGGACGCTGTTACTCATAGCGTCCTTCCCATTTTCAAAATCTCAAGTTACCTTTTCCAGTTGTGGAATAATTGGTTTATCATTTATTATTAATAAAAAATCGGCTAAAAAAGGCTGCCTCGTCGGCAGGGGCGGATCTACAGGGTGGCCAGGGTGGGCCGCGGCCCACCCTGGGATTTTGCACCAGCCCTGTATACCTATGCAACTAGAGATGGGCCAGAGAGAAGCAAGAAGCCCAATAACGCAAGCACGCACGCAGCCATCGCAATCAAGCAGAGACCAGCCGTCCTGATTCCCCATCTGCCTCCAGTGCTCGCTGGGATGCTCCCTCCGGCGGGTCCCTCCCGCATCGCCACCGCAGCGCCGCCATTCGCCGCTCCTCCCCCTTCTGCGGTGCCAATCCTGCTTCGTTGGCTCACCATCCAGTACAGCGCAACCGGCGCTCGGAGCCAGACACGCCCATCGCGCCTCTGCCCCTCCGGCCGATTGCGGACTTGCGTCCCTGCCCCGGCCGCTGCAAGCCGACGTCAGCCGCCCAAACACCCAACCTGCACTCTAATATTTCCGGTGGTTGCCCTCTTGCACGATTTGAGGTACCAGCCCATTGGCCCCCATTCCCAAATTTTAATATAGGGTTTCTTCTTTGTTGTCCTATACACTATCCAGTACACGAACAAATTAAACTTACACATTATTTTTTGTTTAATTATATCATATTGTAAGACCATGTTGATCTATTTTTATGGTGTATTGATAGTTAGAGTGAGAATTTTACTCTGTTTGTAAGACCATATCGATCTATTTTAGTGTGTTTGTACAACATTCACATGTCAAGTTTGTCGCAAAAAAAAATTTTAGGCGGACCACCCTGTTGTCAAACGCTAGCTCCGCCACTGCTCGTCGGATCCCGTTCAGCCGTCCGATGGAGAAGGTAGGGTTGTTCTCTTTCGTCCGTCTCCTCCTCCCTCTCTATCTGAAGGAGGCGAGGGGCACGTCAGACACCTCGCCGCAGTTCAGAGAGCTCGCGCGCCGGTCAGCTCCGGGAGTTCGGAGAAGGTCCTTTGCGATTCCCTGACATAGATTCATGGTCTGGATCTCAGGGACGGCGGCGGGCCATCAGTGGTTACGGATCGGCGATACAGCGCGGCAGTGCCCCCTACCGCGCACGAGGAGAATCGGGAGGCGCGTCGGTGCGGCGGAGAACACCTGCGCCCAGCCCAATGTCCAGGCAGGAGGGCATGGATGCCAATGGCCGCGCATTCTAACTGCACGCTCGGCCTTCGTTCTCCACCTAGCAGCTTGGTCTGTAACAGTGAATCCATGGTCGTGCTCTCGCGCAGTCGTGGGGGGACGCATACGCGCCACCTGCGCGCTGCTGTTCGGTTCGTAAGCGCCGGAGAGCCCACCGGAAGCCGTGTTTTCCTTCCTCGCGGCGAGGCAGACACGGCTTGACGGCATGCCATTCTGAGTGCTCCGGCCGGTGGCGGCCAGCCAGCCACCGCAATTCCAGTCCTTTGCGTGACAGCTTGCTAGGTCGACGGGCGCCGTGACATCCCTACTCCTTCAGGAATCAGGCTTCAGAGGTAGGTGTGCCGTAAAAATGGTGTTACGCCGGCATCTCATGTGCGCCCAGAAATTGCTCGATGAAATGCTCGCATGGTTTTATCTAGTTCAGATTTGCTGATACTAATATACTAGTCTTTTGCGCCCTTACGCATTATTATGATACTTTTCTGCTATGAACACTGATGATTTGGGCTCCTAATGTCGTTTGTGCAGTAGGTGTAGTTATATACTCCCTCCGTAAAGAAATATAAGAGTGTTTATATCACTAAAATAGTGATCTAAACGCTCTTATATTTGTTTACAGAGGGAGTAGTTGTGATTCCCGCTGAGAGAGAGGGACAATACCTAGTGTAGTAGTGTTGTGCGCTCAACTGAACTGAACCGCATTTTGTCTTTTCTTCCGGTATTCTCATGAGTCATGACCCTGTTGTTCGAAATTTTCATTTGCTAGTGCTTTCACAGGCTATAACTATCAACGCGAACTCATGGACTGATGCTGGTCATGCAGTCAACCAGTTGTATGATCTCCTCTACATGATGGGCCGTGATGACATTGCGGTGGGAGTCGGAGGGGAGGGTGGTATATCCAATGATGGTAGAATTTATCCTCACGTTGGTGGCTATTTCCCAATAATTGACCAGGTGAAATAGATGGCCCATGTCCATCTGATTCTCCTTGCAAGTTCTGCACTACCAAATTCTACATTGTAATTTTACCATGTTCGGTAAAAATAACTGTTTGTGACTTCAATTCCTCAGGGAATGTCAACAATAGGGGAGTGTCGATACCGACAATCAATTCCACAGGGATCAGGTGGCCGCTTGGACATCAACGCGAATTATGGAGTTCGACGGGAAATTCTTCCTCAGGTACAGAAGAAAGATAGTAACCCACCATTCATGCCTTTTATCTCAAAACATGGTTGTAGATTCTTTCAGGAAGACTGTACTGGAAGGCAGTGCATTTCTTAACTTCCTTTTGGCCTTGAATCAGGGAAATAGAAGTTACTCCCCTCTTCAACAGCCAACAACTCAACAAGTGATGATTGACACCATATCCGCTGGGCCAACGAATGTCTTCCTCTTCGGAACACATACAAACTTTGCGCTGTTCCTCATGAGCAACCCTCACCTAAAGAAAAACGTGAAGCACATTTACATAATGGGTGGGGGTGTGAGATCGCAAAATCCCACTGGTTGCTGCCCCAAGAACGACACATCATGCGTGCCACGACAATGTGGTGATCATGGCAACATGTTTACAACTTACACCAAAAATCCACATGCCGAGTTCAACATATATGGAGACCCTTTTGGCGTGTATCAGGTAATCTAGAGGCACACCAATTGTTTGCAGCCCAGTGTTAAGCATTTAACTGCGCTATCTTCTTTTGAGGAATCAACTATGTTATTGTGCATCTGGAATTAGTCTTATCTCTTTATCTGGTATTACAGGTCTTTCATTCTGGTATCCCGATCACCCTTGTGCCACTCGATGCAACCAACACGATACCAATCACTGAGTCCTTCTTCAAGGCATTTGAGGAGCAACAGAGCACTTATGAGGCACAGTACTCCTTCCAGTCTTTGAAGATTGCTTGCGATACCTGGTTTGATGACCAGTTCTACACAGTAAGTTTTTACATGTGGTGATATGTTAATCTGCATGTGTACTTGTGTTATTGGTTTAACCTTGTTCTTTTTTTGCTTTAATTCAGAGTTACTTTATGTGGGATTCTTTCATGTCTGGTGTGGCACTCTCAATAATGCGCAATGGTCAGAAACTGAATGGCGATAACGATTTTGCTGAGATGGAAGTGATGAACATAACTGTGGTTACATCCAATGAACCATACGGTGTGCATGATGGATCAAATCCATTCTTTGATGGACATGCAAGCCCAAAATTTGATTTATTGAAAGGTGGTGTACATAGTGGTCATGTTCAGATAGGATTCAATGATTCATTTTGTGTTTTGAAAGGGGGCACTAAAGGAAAATGCCAGGTAACTGCAGTTTAAAATGGAAATATATACTTATTACATAACATCAGAAAGTGCAAATCAGTAGAGATATGTGTGCATCTAAAGATTTCATCATTATATTATTGAAGACTTTTGGTTCATCGTTGTATATAACATGATGGGCTAAATATTTTACCAGGATGGATACACCAAAGAAGTGCAAGGTCCTGACTCGGTTGCTGTACTTGTCGCAGTGAAGGCAAAACCTAATAGAAATGTTAAAAGTCCTCTTGATAGAGAGTTTTTTGACCACTTTCTCGAGGTATTTGTTTCTGAAGTACATGCTTACTTTTGATTTGATCCTCTGTTGTTCTGAATATTCTCAAGGATGTCATTTTCTGACAAAACATTTGTTAAACCTTGAGTCATGAATAGAAAAATGTGATGACTGATGATGATCCAGGAAGAGCCTTACATTCCTGTCTATTTTATGCACTTGAGACAAGCTCTATGATTGTTGAATCTCACAAACAAACTTCAACAAAAGCAGTAGGAAAGTATTTTTTTTTAAATCTGATTAAACATCTAATTCTGCAATCTAAGATTGCAGTCGAGATGTAAGGGGTTCAGAAACATAGCAACACCATGGGAATACATAATAAAAAAGGAGCAATAGGGATGTACTAGTAATGAATATCTAGATGGGAAATGAACAATGACATAACATAATTCTCTCCAATCAACTTGTTTGCTGCACTGTTTATAAGTCAAATATTTTTCATCACCACATGCAGGTCCTGAATCGCCCTGAACACACTGGGCACTTCAATTTTACCGATCAGTTTCGTCACTACAAAGAGATTATGTACAAACCTGATTTGAAACATCAGATTAGAGGAAAGCCTGTCATATTTGACATGGACATGAGTCCTGGAGATTTTCTTGCCCTCTTGTGCCTCCTGAAAGCACCTATGGAAGCAATTGATTTGAGGGTCAGTATCATCTGTGCTAATCTCCCCTTCCAATAAACTTGCAAAAATATTTACAAAATCATACGGTAAACATTGCCTGTTATAAGTCTAATAGTCATTTATGTTCTTACATATGCAGGGGATATTGGTAAGTGGCAATGGTTGGGCAAACCCAGCTACAGTAGATGTTATCTATGACGTTCTTCATATGATGGGCCGTGATGACATTCCAGTAGGACTTGGGAAAATTACTGCGCTTCGTGCCCCTGACCTTGGATGTGAATACGTGAAAGCCATACCACATGGTTCTGGTGGTTTTCTTGACACTGACACCCTTTTTGGACTAGCCCGGGTGTTGCCCAGAAGTCCTAGAAGGTACCAACGCATGGTTTTAATTAATGAATTAAAAATACACGTCTTACATCTAGATATCTTGGGGTCTCGTATCAAAAATATGATTTTGCAGCCTCATTCTGTATGCATAAAGACAAATCTGGATATTACTACTGGCACACAGTCAAGTATGACAGAAATGTAGACCACGTGGTACCTAATCATGTTATTTTATCAGGTACACAGCAGAAAATTCAGTAAAATATGGTGCTCCAAGGGACACCGCGCGCCCTGAGCTCAGGCAGCCATTGGCTTTTGAAGTTTGGCAACATATTAGAGAAGAACTCAAACCAACTGACAAGATAACCATCCTGACCAATGGTCCTCTCACAAACATAGCAAACATCATTCTATCCGACACAAAAGCAGAATCAGTAATTGAGGTTAGTTCCAAAAGCTTTTGAGATACACATTACTTCAGCTCAGCGGAAATTTATTTGACTAAAAAGTTTCAAATGTCTGAGCAGCGCATTTTTATAGTCGGGAGTCATTTGGCTGGCGGAAATGGAGATGGAGGCAATGTGTTCACTGTTCCATCAAATAAGTTTTCAGAGTTCAATTTCTTTCTTGACCCTCAAGCTGCCAAGGCGGTTGTAGAATCTGATTTAGACATCACTCTCATTCCTTTGAGAGCTCAACGCCAGGTGGCTTCTTTCAAAGAAGTCACAAGATCGTTGTGTACTGCTGAGAAGACTCCTGAATCATCGTTTGCATACCAGTTGTTGCTGTCAATGCAGAAACTGCAAAAGAATAACCAAGCATATCGTCACATTGTAAGTTGGTTTTACAGGTTCTATATCTAAACTGCCATAATGGAAAAAACCATTTTAGATAGCGTTGTTATACATAGAGTAACAATAGATAGTGTTGTTATACATAAAGTATCCAAATAAAAGGCAAAAACTTCCATAGTAATTTTATCTGGATTATCTAGTTTCAGTTAGCATCATCTATATATTCACAAAGGCCCGTCAATTATATACCACAATTCAATAGTGAAAGAAACCACTTCAGTTATTTCATTTGAACAGTTCGTATTCAAGTCGTATATTTGTAGCAGCAAATTTGTGATTTCCTCATATTTTTGTTTGTCACCATTGCAGGACATGTTCCTTGGTGAGCTTCTTGGTGCTGTGTTCTTGGTTCAGCAATCACATCTGAATCACTCGATCACCCAAAGGGCCATCACTGTTAGATCTGGTCATGTGAGCATCGATGGTCAGACCATCCTCCGCCGGACGAACGGAAAGGTAGTAAAGGTACTAGATCATCTCGACGCAGATGCTTACTACACCGAGTTTGCGAAGCTGCTCAATGCGAAGAAGCAGTCTGCGGTCGTGGGTAGCTTTGATGAGCAGAAAAGAATGTGGAACAAATGACGCGGTTCTGCTAGATAGTCTGGCGCGTGGAGAGGAAAATATGATTCTCGCTTGCCCTCCTCCTTTTGTTGTAAAAATGTCAACACCGCAAAGCTCGCCGGAGGAGAAATTCAAAGCAGTTGTGGAACACTGCAGATTTTCACTATCTGTCTTCCGAATACCTGCTGCTGCTGGCTTGCTGCAAGATGGTTGCCGGTGAGAAGGAAGGGAGTCAGCAACCAAGATGGTGATGATGGTTTTTTTTTTTTTTGCTTTGCTTGTAGTGATAGTTTGGTTTATGTTTTTTTCTGTTTGATGGGAATTGGAGGGTGAAATCCACGTCCTGTAAGGAAATACTCCCTCTGTAAACTAATATAAGAGCGTTTAGATCACTAAAATAGTAATCTAAACACTCTTATATTAGTTTACGGAGGGAGTAGTTGATTATCTTATATGCAAGGTAGTTTTGTGGTATGATGATGATAGAGGGTTCTGAAATTCCAGATGCATGGTTCAGAACATTGCACATATACTGAAATTGGCGTATGATTCGTTGGAATTTTGAGGCCCTTGTTTGCTCCCAGAACCATGGCAACTGACCTCGTGTCCATTCCATATCATGTGAACCAGCAGACCGCCTTGGATCCATCCACAAATCCAATTGTTAAGGACATACTCATATATTTGAAAGTTAACATCATCACATACTCAAGCTATGCCCAGGGATGAGATCTCATATTTGAAAGTTAACGTCACATACTCAAGAATCAAGATACGCCCAGGGATGAGATCCATCACGACTTCACAAATCACAAGTTCGCAGCAACGGCCGTAGCAGATCTCGTGCTCCTGCCTCCATACTTTTTTTTTTGAAGAACGAACAGTTTTTTTTTTTTCAGCACGAGTGCGCCGCCTGGCAGAGAATCCAACGGATCCGCTCGCCTCGGCAGCAGAGTCCAGCGCAGCCAAGATTTGAATTTCGAAATCCGGATCACCGCCGCGCTTACGTTAGTTAATCCACGCCCCTGCGACTCTTTCCACTAACCGTCGGTTAAGGGCATCCCCCGATCGGACGGCCACGGAGCGACCTCGCGCGAGTCGCGTCCTCGTCCAGAAAGAGAAAACCCTCCCCCCACGCTCCGCCGGCCGCCGCTTCTTCCCCTTCCACTACCGTGCCCCCGCCCAAACCCTCCCCCCTCGAGGACT